AATTCAACACCCTTTGCCAACAAAAACCCTGGATTTTGGCAGCCCGGATAAAGCTTGCGAACGGGCTCTTGTTTATTCTGCAATTTTTATTATTTTGGGATGGCCTCTTTAGATCAGTCGCCAAGCCACTATCTCTTTAGACCAGGCAGTGGGAGAGACTCTCAGAGCGGTAGTCCGAAACACAACTTTTCCTTCTTATCTTTCATGGCCGTTTGGGTCCCGCGTTTACACCCTACCCCCAAACTCTCACAATGGCCATTAATAAGCGTGGCAATTAAAAACGAATTCTACGAGGTGGCGCATACGTGAGAAAGAGACGTAGCAAGCACAATACAAGGTTAAGAGACATCAAAAAAACTGCTGCCAGCTTCTAGGCTTCACCCTCCGCCCCTCCGGCTACCTTTTGGAGATGTGCGTAAAAGGGAGCGTCACCCTTTCCACCCTCTGATAGATGTTCCCTTCAGAGCTACACAGAGCGATTGCTCTTGTTCAGAAACGAAACTTAACATCGGGTATTATGGAGGAAGTACAGACAGACTTGTTGTTGTTTAGTCGTTGAGTCGTGTCCGACTCTTCGTGACCCCATGGACCAGAGCACGCCAAGCCCTCCTGTCTTCCACTGCCTTCCGGAGTTCGGTCCAATTCATGTTGGTCGCTTCGATGACCCTGTCCAACCATCTTATACTATGCAGTATTTTTCTCTTCAGCATCGGACTTTCCTTTCACTTCCAGGCACGTCCGCAGCTGAGCGTCCTTTCGGCTTTGGCCCAACCACTTCATCAGCTCTGGAGCTACATGTACTTGTCCTCCGCTCTTCATTGGTAGCATGTTGGACACCTTCCGACTAGTCTGGCCTTTCCCCCCCTACATCTCATCCCACTGCAGGAACGGTGTCAGCCAGGGAGCTGCTTGGGCATCACAATTTCAGCAGACCCTCGACACACACACACACCATACAACCTTCTCTACACACTATGGGGGCTGCAGTTGCTTCTGCTGTGCATTTTTTAAAATCCTAAATAGCAATACATTCCAGCTCCTCTCTGCCCACAGCCTGCGGCTTCCGCCTGCCTGCTATTTTCAGACACGAGCAAAAATTACACAGCTCTGATCCTCGTTAAAAAGAAACATCATGTGACTCGCAGATAGGAAACTCTGAGGTCAATTGTATGGAAACTGTAGAATGACTCCCCTTATTTGTCAAAAGCTTCGTTCTTCTTCTTCTTCGAGAAGTGTTTTTGGCCCGGTTCCTCCGCCTACCCACCCACCTTCCTTCCCTCGAGCAACGGAGACGGTCCCTTTCTGGGTAGACCACATTTTGGACATTTTCCCAGAGCCGCTCCTGCTCTACCGAGGATGATCTCAGCTTGGAGTTATTTATGATTCCTCCTTCGCCCGCTCTGGATGCTCTCGGCTGGGATTCTGAATCCTCAGCATCCTAAGAGAGCATCCGAAGGTGCCTGGACCAGAAAGAGGAAAATCCTCCTTGCTTATCCCTTGAACACCGGGTGCAAGGCTTAACCAAGCCATGATGTTTATACTCGGGCAATGTCCTCTGCAAGCCATTCAAGCTGGAAGAATCCTCTTTTACCCATCCTGCTTTATCCTTCCCACTACAAACTCTCAAAACATTATTTTTTTTTCCAACAGTAGACAGCATTTTATTATAATGTATTGTTTTTAAAGGGCTAACAACAAGCAAATATTGGACAGAACTATGAAACTGGACACACATTTTGCCCATGAGAAGGGGCAGACTTTGTACGTTTTAAGCAAATAAGGACCTTTACACCCCCAAAAAGGGTGCCATTCCATTTCCCTTCTTCTTCCCGACTTGTCCTGATCTTACAAAACTGGGGAGGAGAAGCGACCAGGGTTAGGGGTTCCCCCCCTTCCCAGAATGTTTCTACAATGTAGGGGCGAGGATGTCACGAAGACGAGTCAGTTCTAAAGATTTAAATAAGAGGGTCACTTTTGCTTGGGGAGGGAGGGAGCCCAGAATTTAAAAAAAAGATAAAGCAAAAGGATAAAGCAAAAATAACCCCCATGTATGCTGTTCTCCCCGCCATAGGAAAAGGGAGGGATATAAGGAAGGTGAATGGTCAAATATCGTCAGAATCCTTGCTGTCGGTCACGTGGGGGCCATCTGCCCAACGTCTCTGATCATGTACCTGTTTCCATACTTAGAGCCTATTAACAAGAATGTATTAAAAGCAAATTTATAGGACCTTTCACTCAGTGGGGCCCAGATGGCCAACTCTAGATCTCCAAGTGAGTAGATGCAGCAGATGAGCGCATGGACATCCGTATTTTGGTCTTTGGCTAAGAAAAAGAGTTTGCACGATAATTTCAAATTTAAGACGACTCTTTCAGAAAAGCAGGGAATGCCTGGAACGTGGGAGAGTGCCTTAGACGTGATTCTGGTTCGGGGCCCGTTTCAAATGCCATGGGCCCGTTTCAAATGCCACCTCCCGAGGTGACCAGCGGATCAACCGGCCCGGTTCTGCCCCAACACAACCACTCATTCCAGCCAAGGTTGCCAAAGGGACCGGACGATGGGCGTTGTAGTCCAGAGAGAGAGAGAGAGAGAGAGAGAGACTGTCTCCTTTGGTGGAGACAGTTGCAGTAGAAACAAGACTGTTTCTATCCAAATGATACTTTTTGTTGTTGTTTATTAGCCGTGTGTGGTTTCTGTTATCATCTCTTCTTGCTTCTCAGATGGCAAAAAAGGAAGGTCACTTATCCTTATTGTAGCAAAGGGTGAAACAGCGCACAGCTTTCTTAAGCAAACTTTTAAACTTCATAAAGATGCTGAGCGGTAGAATTTCACCATGGCGTGCCACCCAAGCCTAGAGATACGCTTGGGCACAGTGTGAAAACAGGCATTACGTATGTCTATTCTAGTTTTGCCCTCTTAAATTTCCCGTCCCGCCCTAGAAACCCATTTTTTCTCCCCCTTGGTTTCCATGCTCCTGAAAATTCTAAATTTTCTAAGACTTAGTCAAGGGCTGCTGAGTCCTCGCTTCTCTCTTCTCCCTCGCAGCCCTGTCCCCTCCGCTGTCTTTCGAGAGGCCGGTCGGACAGACCTCAACATCCGTTGTCTATAAAACCCTGGTACACTAACAGTTCACCCTTGGAAAAAGGATGCTGTTAGCTTCACAGACCTGCTTGGGCCAGTCTTTTTGTTAAAAGTGCATAGGTGGGAATATGTTGTCCCTTGGGAGAAGCCAGCAGGCTTTCTGAGCAAAAAACAGGGTGTTTTCCTTCCCTATAAACTAACACAGTATTGTTATCATCCAGAAAGCGCAGTGAACTCCCCGCTGGCGGGAGGAGAAGGCAGCCACCCAAAGGCTCTAGCATGCTTCATCTCCCAGGTTTGTTAGACGGACACAAGCAAAGCGCAAGAACTGTAGTCCTCCTGTTGGCACAGCAACGTCCCCCCTCCCATGGGTACCGCATAGGACACTACTTTCTAAGAATGCAGAGGTTCCCCTATAGTCCTCATTCCTTCAGTTATGGGCAGAAGGAGAAGTCGCAAAAGCACTGCATGGACAGAGTATCTCCCTAAAGAATCCTAAAGCTGTAGAGTAAGGACTAAGAGTCAAGAGTCATCTGGTCCAGCCCCCTTAATGTAGAAAGGCACAGATAAACCCCCCCCCCCCCGAACGATGGGTGAATTGTTGGAGGCATGAGGATCGGTGTCTCCTGGAAGCGGAGAAGCCCCCCCGTCATTACGGGGAGCCAACCCCCCCCCCCCCCGAACGACGGCTGAATTGTTGGAGGCACGAGGATTGGTGTCTCCTGGAAGCGGAGAAGCCCACCCGTCATTACGGGGAGCCACGGGCGGCTTTTGCACAGTGGCTCTCCAGAAAAGTGGGGCTCCCTGAGCTAAATGCAAGATTTTCCAGAAGCTCGAAGCTTCCACCTCCCTCACTGGATGGGTGGGGGGGCTTCGGCTTCTTTGCCCCCAGGAATGTCCTTGCTCACACCGATGGGCCCTTTGTCGGCCAGCCAAGGACCCAACAGAACCGCCTTCGGTATCAGAGAAACAGGAATTAAAAAGAGCAAGGAATAAGAAGTTCTGTTGTCTCTTTATTGATCCTAAATAGCCAAGGCATTCCAAAAACAAGTGTTTGGGGGGGGGCGTGCTAACTGTAGGGACAGGCCTCAAAAAGTGTAAACAGGGCACTTAGCAAGAACGTCTGCCCATTAAGACACCTTGAAGGAGGAGGAGGTTTGGTCTCTCTCGTGAAACAGACAGCACAAAAATAGCATATGATTCACAGCACTGGGTTTTATAGAAGGCCCACCAGCCTCTCTCGGTAGGCTAGGCGCTCGTTTTGAAACAGATCTCCCGTGGGGCTGAATAGGAAACAGGGCGAAATACAATATGGACATAAAAGAGATGCTGAGAAGTCACCACTTCCTCACATTCAGTCCACGGGAAAGTTTGGGGGAGACAAGGAAGAGAACAGGCCGCAATAATAATATTCATCATAATAATTAAAATATATCTATATTGCACATAAATTACAAAAAAATAAAAATATATGAACAGGAAGTGGAGAAGTTCTCGTGGGCACGACCTGCTTAGTATCCAGCTAGAATACTTCAATAAATAAACCTAGAGAGAAAGACAAAAATCCGGATGGGCTAACGAAGCAGCCGGACTGCAGGTCTGTCCGTGAGATGTAAATGTGTTGGAAGTGGGTTCGTCAAGGACCGAGGCGTGGACGTGCTGCTCGTTCCAGAACTTCTCTTTGGAAGAAAGAAGTGGAGGCCTTTGTACACCGGGTAAAGAAAGCCACCTTGATTCGAATCCAGGCCCATGCTCAAAAAAGGGATCCCTCCCTGCCTGCCGCCTCGGGGACAAGCCGTAAAGGAGAGTCCTCTCTGAATTTCACAGTGGTCTATGGGGGTGGGATCTTTGACCCTTAAGCTGCTTGGTTGCTAAAGAGGTCCTCGTACCGGAACGGAAAGCCAGTTCCTGGGACAGAAGGATCTTTGACCCTTAAGCTGCTTGGTTGCTAAGAGGTCCTCGTACCAGAACAGAAAGCCAGTTCCTGGGACAGAAGGGTAGCCGGACGGTGTCGTTCCTCCGGGCCCTCCTGGGGGCGGGGAGCGGGAGGCATGGACTTCTGTCGCCAAGCAGCTCCTCTGTCAAAAAGGAAGTTGACTGTATGTAAATGTCCCTCCGCCCAGCCCCATCTACAGCGAAGGGCTCGGTTTCTTCTGATTAATGAGGTCCAGGTACAGCTCCGAACGCAGGAAGCGGGGGTACGGGTCCTTCTCCATCAAGCCGTAGATCCGTCTCTGGGCCAGATCAAAGCAGCCCGGAGTGACGTCCTGCATGTTCTCTTTGGTATGTTCTCGGGTGCAGGAATCTAGGTTGACCTGGAAAAACAGAAAACACACACACACACAGTGTTGCTGATAGAGAACCTGTCTGGACAGTTGGCGTTCTTTAGCCGAAGGGAGGACAAAGTGGGGCCAGTCAGAGGTGGCTTGCTTCATTAACCTCCCAACGGGACATGGATGGACCTTTCTGGCAGTCCGACCATGGGAGGAGGAGGGGAAAGAAGGTGGTATGAAATTAGCACCATTTCCAGCAAATGACAGCGATCGGAGAGATGCCAGGATAGGCAAAACGACTCAGAGGATACTTTTTTTATGTATTGGCCTGTCCTTTCCCCATAACCATCACTTGATTCTCAAAGTGAGCCTCCGCTGGTCCTTCAACCACCCTACGTTTTGGTACTAGGGGTAACTGAGTCTCTCCAGTCATCGTTTGCTGGCAATAACGACACAGATGTCATTGGCACATCTGAGTAAGAATCCACATGCTCCAGCTTCACACAAAGCCAGGCCAAGCGCTCTTGTCCGCGGGGAGGCACGTGGCCTCACCCAGCCTCAACCTGTGCCCCCCCCCAGGTCCGAGAGAGGTCAGCAAAACCTTCCGGCACTCACTTCTTTGCAGGACTGGATCGCGATATATTCCATGAAGATCTTTTTCGCTTTGGAAGCCATCTTGGCCTGGGACTTGATCTTCCTGTAGTCCTCGCAAGCCAGCCAGAACTCCAGGTTTTCCTCACTGAACTCGGTGCGCAGGAAGGCTCGGAAGGCAGCCAGGCCATCTGAAAAGGGAGGGGAGGAGGTGGAGGGTTTGGGGGTCAAAGCAGGCCGGCTGAGGACCCCAGCTCCGTCGGCACTGGCAAACCCCTCCTTTGCCTTAGCTCAGCCCACTACCCAAGGAAGGAAAATGTTCTGCCACAATAGAATTAATCTTAGTAGAATCTGACACAACTGGGAATCCTCCTGATCAAGAAGTGGGTTAACTCTGAAGACTGAGTTGCCCCACAGAACAAGGAAGGAAAGGTGAGCTTCCTGCTTTATATATACCTCCAGAACCATTTGGCAGCCTCTTTTTGGGTAGATAATGCTGGATGATCCAGCAAAGCCCATCTGATCTCATGAGGCCGGGAAGAGGCCCTTCCACGTCTCTCCTAACCTGACAAAGAGTTTGAAGGTTCTTCAGGCCGAACGCCTTCCAACACATACGGAAAAGGGAGGGAAGGAGGGATTAGCCCTGTTAATAAGGAACCTTGAAAGCCAGGAAGGTTCATTTGGCAGAACCTTCACAGACCGCAGTCCACTTTGTCAGAGATATTGGACAAAGAGGTTGAGAGTTCACAAAAGCGTACACCTAAGACAAGCTCGTTTGCCTTACGATGTGTCCCAAGACTTGGCCCTTCCACGTCTCTCCTAACCTGACAAGAGTTTGAAGGTTCTTCAGGCCGAGCGCCTTCCAACACATATGGAAAAGGGAGGGATTTTATTCCCAGAAACTGTTCTTTCTCCCTCTGTCACACCTGTTGGGTGGGCCTCTGCAGGCACATGCTTCTTCCTGGCTGCACCTGGAGTCTCTGCGGCCCAAAGGAGGGAGGTTTAACCTTTCTAAATCCCAGCACGAGGCCCCGACAGGGCCCCATAGCGATGCCTCCTTTGGCGTGCTTGGTGCCCCGGATTCACTGCTGATGAATCAGGGCGGATAGAGGCAAGACGTGGGGGCATCCGATGCCCGCCTGCACAGACAAGACTAGTCCCAACGGTTTGGCCAAATTCAAGGGTCTGCGTGGCTCTTTCCAGAGGACAACGCTAGTCTGGCTAAGAAGCACCCCCGAGGCAGAAGGGGCAAGAGAAAAGAAGGGCTGTTTCTGTCCCAGAGGCTCTCCACTCCCCCCCTCCCATTGCACTTGGCTATTCTTCTTCCTTATGGCTCAGTCACCGGCAAACGTCTGCGTGGCTCTTTCCAGAGGACAACGCTAGTCTGGCTAAGAAGCACCCCCGAGGCAGAAGGGGCAAGAGAAAAGAAGGGCTGTTTCTGTCCCAGAGGCTCTCCACTCCCCCCCTCCCATTGCACTTGGCTATTCTTCCTTATGGCTCAGTCACCGGCACTGTGCCAGAGCTAGAGGGAACGTGGGCAGAAACTACAACGCTGAACAAGATTCGATACCGACTTGAAATGCAGCGGCGTGTTGGCAAAGGGGACACTAACGCACTTGGCTATTCTTCCTTATGGCTCAGTCACCGGCACTGTGCCAGAGCTAGAGGGAACGTGGGCAGAAACTACAACTCTGAACAAGATTCGATACCGAATCTTGAAATGCGGCGGCGTGTTGGCAAAGGGGATGCTAACGATCTGAAACCCAATGACAACGGAGAGGCTGAGTCAGCAGAAAAGTCCTTACATTTGTGTTGGAGCAGCTTTTCCAGGGACTCCCTCCACTCCAGGGCTTCTTCGGCGGTTGGCCTAAGCAGGAAAGGGAATTAGATTGGGGGGGGGGTTGAAGAATTCGTTCTTACTCATTTGTCGTGCATTTCTAAACCGTTCGGTAGGAATGGGAGCAATTAACGAGAGAGCGAACTCTTTTGTTTCCCCAACAGACGATGAAACCCTTCCCTCATTAGTGCAATGATTTTAACTCGAACACTGCCGGTTAGCTCACATGCCCATTGACCTGTACAGTCCCTTGAAAAAGGCTGCATGGAGGATTGGTTGACATCCTAATAACCACCCTGTCCTTTCAAAGGACTTTGGCCCCTGGGTTCTTAAGAGGGACCCTCCTCTGGGCCCAATCCCGCTAAAGAGGCCACAGGTACCCCCCCCTTCCAGGGAGGACCCCCAGGGAGAAGCCATGGGGGGAGGGGGCCCTTGGGGGGGGACAGTCCCTTGAAAAAGGCTGCATGGAGGATTGGTTGACATCCTAATAACCACCCTGTCCTTTCAAAGGACTTTGGCCCCTGGGTTCTTAAGAGGGACCCTCCTCTGGGCCCAATCCCGCTAAAGAGGCCACAGGTACCCCCCCCTTCCAGGGAGGACCCCCAGGGAGAAGCCATGGGGGGAGGGGGCCCTTGGGGGGGGGAAGAAAGGCTGTGCGGACCAAGCCTGCCCCCACGATCTCGAAGCCTGGAAGGTGCCAGCCTTTGAGGGTTCGGGACCCGGGTCTGCAAGGGGGGGCAGAAAGAGGCAGCCGGCNGAGGGGTGGCCCCCGGGGGACCCTTGGCGTCGCCGGAAGAGGCCCAGCCGGTTCTTCACCTCCTTGGCCCTGGAGGGGGGAACAAAGCCGGGAGGGATCAGGGCGTGTGTGTGTGTGATGGGGGGGTGAGGCCAGCCTTCCAACACCCCCCTC